TTGACATTTAAAGTCTTAACTAGGTTATTTAGGTTAACTAGACAGGTTAGGGTAATTAGGCAAGTTATTGTATAATGATGGTTTGTTCTGGAGATTATAAAAAAAATAGTTTTTGTATATTTTTGCACATATACAAAAATAATTTGTATATGTGCCTTCTCAAAGTCGACTGTGAATTCTTTCAATTAAGCACTTCATGTTTTGTAGGTTGATAGTTCACAGCGCATCTGTCAGGAATCCTTTTTAACGGCAACAATTTAAAACATCTTAGATTTCCCCATGGGTGATCATAAATGTCTGTTTATGATCAGTCATCTTTACATTGCTGACTCCCTCTGTCTCATCCACATTCTCTAGTGTTGTTTACTTTCTGCTCAATGTTAGCTTCATAAACTAACCTACTAGCCAACATTGCATGTTAACCTAGCTGAAAAAGCCATGCAGGTGCACTGTGACAATAAAAAAAAATGTGTAAAAATTGTGCAATCCAAAAAAATTATAGCGATCATTCTAGCACTTACTGACTTTACTTTGACTTATTAATTCGCCACAGTGGAATGAACTGCCAATTTCTCTGGCAATTGTTTTACACAGTGGATGCCCTTCTAACCGCAACCCAGTGATAGGAGTACAACCTACAATGCAGGGAAACGCAGTATCCCAATCATACACTATAGGCAATTCAGTTTAACCAATTAACCTATATCACATATCTTTGACTGTGGGGGAAACCTGAGCACCTGAACAAAACCCACTCAGATACGGGAAAAAAACTAGGGTGGTCACGATTCTGGAATTTGGTGCCAATTGGTACTAAAGTTTTAAAAACATCCATTTCCCCCTAACATTTAAGCGCTACTGAGCACGTTCTTACACGACACTGATTTCAACAGAAATACCTGTCATTGGCCCTAAAGTTCATCAGTTCACCAAACTCACCGCTGTTTACTGAGTGTAACCACAGATACAGGGACATTGGAGTGTTTTAAAGTCACATCGATCAGCTGGTTAGTGTCTATAAGCTGACATACAAGCAATCTGCTGATCAATTGCGACTTTAAAACGCTAAAGTGTCCCTGTATCTGTGGTTACAGTCAGTAAACAGCGGTGAGATCGGTGACCTGATGACCATCACAGCCAATCACAGTCATTTCGGCTCAGCAATAGAACACAATGGAAAATCAGCATTGTTTAAGAATGAGCTCAGCAGCGCTCAAACGTTAGCAGGAAATGGATGTTTTTAAAACTTCAGTATCGATTGGTACCGGATTCTGCTATTGTGCAACCCTAAGGAAAACATGCAAACTCCACACCAAAATGCCTCCTGGTCCAGCCAGGCTTTAAATCAGTGACCTTCTTGTTATAAGATAACCATACTAACCACTTAGCCACCGTGCCAACACCAAGCAAATTAGAAATAAAGCAACAAGCCTGGTTTAAAAATGTTAAGTAGAAAGTGCAGACATTGATGTCAACGAGTAAACAGTTGTCAGAAAAATATAAAGAAGTACAGTACTGATACAAGATAAAAGGTACGCATGAAAAGTAAGTAAGTGTCTGTACTTTGTAACTTCCCATTGCTGACCACAGCATTTAATAATGGAGTTTTACAAGGTAACAACCTGGTATCAATTGCATTTTAAATTGTCAGTTGCATACTGCATGACGTTTAAACCAGAAAAAAGCAAGTAATAAAGATCTCAGATGACAGCTATGATTTTTACCATGCGTTTTGGTACATTACAGCTAAATGTATGAGTACCTGGTTTTGGTGTCTTTAAATAGTCTGTTTTCTTTTGTGGCTGTGAACATCTTTGAGTCTATGAAATCAAGCCAATGAAAGGTTTTTTTCAACTTGCTATTTTTGGAAAAGCTCAAAACATTTTCAAATGTTTAAACGGAGCCTTATTTAGATTTAGGTTACATGATATGATAAACAGACGTATAAAGTACTCTAATATAGAAATATGTATATTGTTTATAACTGATATTACAGCAGGGGCTTTTCTATTCACTCTGCACTAATGTGGCACATGTCTCCTGTAAAATAATAATAATGAAAAAGCCTGTATTTTAATAATTGAACTGTTTATGGATATAAATAGTCATACACAAACTGCATGTGCTATAAGACTTTTGTTTGAAAACAATTAAAGGCAGCAGCAACAAGTTTCCAACTTATAAAATATTCCTTTGCTATTTTGATGTGAGAAGCCCCTACAAATAATTAAGTGCATGAGTGAACTCTACAAATGAATCAAACAAAGTGAACCGTTTCCGACCCTTTTGCAAACCTGTTCAACCGATTAGATCAAATGAGACTGTTCCGGCATCACCAGTTCTGCTAATAGAAAACGCATGACTTGATTGAAAATCATTTAAAAGTCAGCATATGCCATTGACACATAAGAGTTTCACTCTCTTTTCATTAATTTATTATATATTGGAGCCCGGCGATATTTAGCTGCATCTTATATTCTAGTAAAAAAAATCTATAGCGAAGCCCCTGGACCATGACAAAAACCTAAATTCCAAGGTAGTTTTTAAGTGCACCATGATTTCAGCAATATTACATGATTCTAGACAAATAATTTAACTTCACTGTGAAATGTAATTGACGAAAAGAAAATGAAGGGAAAAAAACAAAAACAAATGAGTCTGAATACTTCTCCTGAGGCCAGATTACCAGCTAGCCTGCTGGTTTAAATGAATATCCGATCAAGTCTGAGAAGGAAGCAGGATTTCTGCAGAGCGCAGATGCTATGCATAATTCTCCCTCAGCAGAAGCAAATGCATTATCATTAGTTCTTTAATCAATGTAAAAACAACAGTGCCCTCCGTTAAAGTGTCTGGATATGCATTCATCCTCTCTCTGGGCATCTAGTAAAACAATATTCAGTAGACGCAAGCCAAATGACTGGCTGAGGTTTCCCCAGTAACAGGTTACGAAGTGTGACACACAAAACAGGACAGCACACATATGGCATATCACCAAGAGGCAGACTTTGTTTCAGGCTAAAGATATTCTGTTCAGCTCATGTTGGCAACATCTACTCCCTCAGCCCAATCGCTCCTTCAATCCTGTCCTCATTCTCCACATATAGCCTGCTGCCCCACTATCCTAAATTTCCAGCTTTAGAAAAAAAGGTGTTGGTACAGGTGACAGATTGTCATGCTTAGAGGAAGGGAAAATGAGGCGCGGGGTGGGCTAGTGTCAAGGAAGGGGATTCCACAAATGGTCTAGTGAAAAAAAAAGTGGGTTACTGGGGCTGCTGGGATTGATTAACAACAATGTGGTGGAGACATGGAAATGACACACACTAGGTTCAAGAAATGAGGGCGTGGGTGTTAAATTCTGCTATTCCGTAGCCCTATTTGTCAGTACGGTGTAAATATATATGCTAACAAGGCTTTTGGTTTAGTTCTGAGTTTACAGAACCACTCCATCTTTATCTACACAAGTGTGTTTTATTATGGTGCATATTTAAAAAGCTTGGTTATGATATTTTTCTGTCATAATTTATAGAAAATGTACACAAGTCAATCTAATTTGTAAAATTTGTTTTTTTAAGGGATAGTTCACCCCAAAATTAAAATTACCTCACTATTTACTCACCCACAAGTGGTTTCAAACCTTTAAGAGGTTCTTTCTTCTGTTAAACACAAAATAAGTTGTCTGAAGGAGGCAGAAAAACTCATTAATTCACAATCTTATAAAGGTTTGAAATAATGAGCCTAATTTAAACAGAAAAGAGGCAAATTTGCACTAAAATGGAAGATAATTCGTTGGAAAAACACCCAATGCTACACTTTCAGCTCATTAATTAGCCTGGTTGGACTGGATTTAGCCATGTAAAAAGTGTAATTCACCCCCAAGCTTGTAACATTTACTGTGAACTCATCTGACAGTTGGTGAGTATTATATCCCAAGCCTTTAGAAACCTGCCCTACTTGTTTTCATTCATCTGTACAATCACCCGCTTTCCATATTAACGGCTCAAACTGGCACACCTGACAAAACATGTTGCGAGTGATGAGGACTTGTGATTAACATTGTGACCTGGAAAAGAGGTGCACAAAGAGAATAGGCCATAAGGGGTGTATGTGTGGAATGAATACAAATGTTGAACGCACACTAGAGGAACTAGCCTGGTAAATATTTCAGCATGGGTGAAATTTTAGAACCGATTCTCTCTGGCTGCAACGTATAAATCAATGCACAACTCACAGCTACATTGTTGAACCGCAGCACAAAAGCGAAGCCTGTATAGTGGACTTCAGCTTTGCAAGAGATACATACCGATTTTCAGAATGACTTGTTAGTGTTGGCCAGCACAGATTTTGTAAAGGGTCCAGCAACACAGACCTGTGGGCCAATCAAGCCCCACTGAACATAAAGCATAAATGATCCCAACTGCAGCCTACAGCCTCTAATAGGAAAACAAACAGAGCATGACCATATTTACTGCTGCTACAGTGTCTATTCACACACATATACACAGCTCTCCTATTACTCAATGCAAACCTTGCAGCAAAAAATGGAGACTGCAGTTAATTTGAATGTATGGTTTTTGTAGCACAAGCAGTGCAGCTGTAAAGTTGAAATGTATAATTACAGTTACATAGAGCAAGTAGCCTGTAGAATTAAATACCTTAGAGGCAGTTAAAAAATAAAAAATAAGAAGATAATGTCTCCTAAGAGTAACATTGGTGATTATCAACAATAACAAGTCTGGAACAAAAGGACGATGTCTCCATGCATCAGCAGCTGCCCATAAGGCATACTAATGCAGCAATGATAACAAACGACCGCCTTACTGGCGGAAATAAATCCTTCAAAATCAAATGAAGGGATGGTCGATGCTGTGAACAATACAGAAGGCTGATGTGTTGAATTACAATGCATCTGTCTCGCGTGAGTTTGCCTCAGCCAGCACGTGCTCGCTTATGGCATTATACACTGGCAAAACAGTATGCAAAGAAGTATGCTGGAGACCAACGCATTTTTCATAGGGCAATCTACGTTTATTTAAATAAAAACAGTTTTTTAAACGTACTAACTGAAATACAAAAATATGGACTCCAAAAACAGAAGAATGTTCGCTGCATTTGTTGGTAACAGAATGAAAACAAAGGCTCGTGTGTTGTCGCCTGTAGGGGCTTAGAGGAACTAATGCAGCTGGACAGATGCGCAATACCAGAGCTCCACGTTTAATATTATTAAAGCTCTCGAGTTCAGTCAAATAAGATACATGTGGCAAGTTGTTTCACAATTATTCCTTTAAACTAATTAAAGTGTTTAGGTTACCAGTATTCGTTTTATCAAGTTATGAGCAAGAAGTGAAACCAGTTTCACCAATTATCCACCATTCAACTAGTATTTTCCTGCAAACCAATTATTCCTAACGATACACAATTTCCATTTGTGGATCTGTGTTTCAGATAACTATGCAGTTTGCTTAGTAACCATTTATTAGACCGATTTTAACCAGTTTCCATTAGGCCTTATATCTCAGTTGTCTTAATAACATTTGCTTTTCACTGGTCATATGTTATGACTAGTCGAAGAGATGGTTTCAATCACTAGTATGACTACAGATTTTGCTAACAACTGGAATAGGCACTAGAACATATAAGAATAGTAGTATTAAACACAACATATTAGTTATAAGGAGTAAATGTCAAAACGGCTTGCCACAGACATGAACGCGTCGTGGTCACCATCTGCCGCAGCAGGGCTCGGGTGCGAATTTGAGAGGGGCTGAGGTTCATGGGCGATATCTGTGATGAGGGCTCACCTTATGGTTTATCTTTTTCCTTTTTAAAGGTACTGGGTGACTTTAGTGGGGCCATCGGTTCTCACAGCACAACCAAAAGGGGCGTTGTCTTTGCCAAAACATGTTCACACAAATACGCAACAACCCTCCCAAAGTCCTGAAACGAAGGTATAGGCAGCCCTTGCTCAAGGCATGCAGAGAGTCCCAAGCGCTCATTCCTTGCCGGTCACCAGCGACAGCTCCTTCAGGATGCCGCTGGCGTCCACGCGCCGTCTCTCGCGTATCATCTCCTCCAGGCTGCGGAACATGAGCGTGTGCGCGGTGCTCTCGGACAGGTGCACCTTCAGAAAGTAGCGCTGCTCGACGGAGTGCACCTCCCCGCCCGCTTTAAACTCCCGCTTGCCGAAACGGCACCAGGCTGCGAAACTTTCCGAGTTCGTCCAGCAAATCTCGCCACTGCTGAGCCCCACGTGCCCGCTCGCGTTCTGCATCACTAAATCAGCGGGCAGCGGCCGGTAGCGGTACCGATTGTTCACTATCCTAGCCTGCCGACCGCAGCTGATCTCAAACAAGCTGTCCTTGCGAATCTCCCCCTTGTAAAGGTGAATAACCTGGTCCTCCCCTTCGAAGATCGCCCAGTGCGGGGGTTGTGCGTTGGCCACTAACTCCAGTAGATCCCCTGGTTTGCACATGGTCAATAAAGTTTTCACCGAATAAACATTCAGGTCCTCGTTTTCTCGCAGTTTGGAGTAAATACATTCCTGGCAGCAGAAAGCCGTGTACTCGATTTCGTTGCGCGCAACCGGACCGTCTTTGCTCGGGCTGTTGTTGTCTTTAAAGCTGTCCGACTGCGATCGATCATCCAGCTCTTCCTCCTCATCGGAAAAGAAATACGCCACGCCAACACGTAACTCGTCCTTCTCGATGCCCGATGGATCCCCGGTGGGTAGCTCGCTGTAGTTCAGGTGGGTGATCCGGTCCAGTTGGTTTCCCATCAATAACAGGGCAGAGGAGAGACATGGAATACTGCTTCTGAAATACAAAAGGGTTATGTGAGTGTCACACTAGAAATAGTCTGACGCGCTCGAAAACGCCGTCTGGGTAAACAGCCATAGTAGTCACCTCACAACACAATGAACCACGCGCACCTGGCTGCGTAAACAAGCCAGTCGCGCAGAGCGCAAGCACAAAGAGGCAGAGGGCGAGTCGATGTTGCACTGCTCGCGGAGATCTCGTTAACAAGTTCACAACACAACACCTCGAGTGACCGCATACCTGCGTATTTCCCCAGGACTATGGCTAATGGTCCTTTCTCTCCATCGGTGCTTGTGCTGTGTGTATTCCGCAAGGTCTCCAAAACAGACGCGCTTTCCTCCCCCTCGCGTGTCCTCCAAGGTACACTGGATTCTCGAATACTTTGCACCGCCGCACTTTAAATAGTCTAGAAAACTCCGCCCCGACCAGCAGAACCTGCCCTCCAGATGGCGATTGGTTCAGAGCCCTCATGAAAAACTTAAACCTCTGCTTAGAGGCTTGTAATATTACAGCTGTTTGTGTTGTTCACATCCTTCAAGACTGAAAAGCTTTGGCAGATTTGTCAAATAGTCTACAACAGTAGTAAATCTAGCCTTCAGATATACACTGAAAAAAAATATTCAAAGATGATTCCTTGCATTTACTAAAAGTCTTTATGTTAAGTGGTTGTAAACAGTTTATTTGGGCTGAATTTAAACAAACGGATGAACATTAGGAAATTTAATTTGTTTGTTTCAATTCAACATAAATTGTTTGCAATGTTTTTTTGTTAGGTTTGCAGCGTTATTTGATTTGAGAATGATGATCAGCTTTGTGAAACATGTTAAAGCTTATTTGTGGTGAAAACTATCAATTAATGTTATTTTACATATTCAGTAGGTCTACATGGTTTATTTTTTGTTTATACAATTTTTACTAGTTCTTTAGTTCATATATTGTAAAAAATAAAAAAAAAATAAAAAAAAAACTTTACTTCGTTTAGTCTTAAATTTCCATGACAGTAAAAATATAAAATTAGGTAAAGAAAAACAAAAAATGTAAACGTATCACAATGTTGACAGGGAGAGACAGTGTGGGTTTGTGTTAGTTGAGGTTTACCCATGTTAATGAATATACAGTATTGTAAAGTGTAACCCATTTATGAATTGACCTGTTTTTTGCTGTTAAAGGTTATAGTGCCACAAATCATCCATTTAAACTGAGTTTAACTTACAACCGACCTAGAATTTTCCTTTAACATGCTTTGAATTTATGATATATAGTGTTTTCCTGCTATCTGTGGACCTCAGGATTCTTCATTCCTCTCCCTCACACATACAGTTGAAGCCAGAATTATATAAATATTATTAGTGATTGAATTATTAGACCCCCTGTTTATTTTTTCCCCAATTTCTGGTAAACGGAAAAATATTTTTTCAACACATTTCTAAACATGTTAGTTTTAATAACTAATTTCTAATAACCGATTTATTTTATCTTTGCTATAAATAATATTTTACTGGATATTTTTCAAGACACTTCTATACAGCTATCAAAAACAGTTTTATTTATTTAAAAGACTATCAAAAAATATAGCTTAATGGGGCTAGTAATTTTGCCCTTAAAACGATTTTTCAAAAATTAAAAACTGAAATAAAACAAATAAGACTTTCTCCAGAAGAAAAAATATTATCAGAAATACTGTGAAAAATTTCTTGCTCTGTTAAACATAATTTGAGAAATATTTAAAAAAGAAAAAATGCAAAGGGGGTTTAATAATTTTGATTTCAACTGTAGATAACAGAGAACCAGCTGTCATGAGGCTTGGACAGTCAAGTGACTGAGTAATTCCTTGCAGCATCATCCAGCCATTCATAATCAAGAGTTTGCTGAAATGGAATCCCAGCCCTTGTGCACAAACACACACACACACACACACACACACACACACACGCACGCACACACACACACACACACACACACGCACACAAACACACACACACACACACACACACACACACACACACACACACAAACACAGTATTGGCACACGTGCAAGACTTTCTCACTATAATATGCCGTATGCCACACAGACACACACACAAACAAGACACTCAAGTGGCAGGCTGGAAGTTGGAATGATTTAGATTATAATTATTCTGCAAAGACAGATCCAATTACCACCTATGAAATGGATTACCCTTGTGTCTCAGTAATATACCCATCTGTGGTTATGTAGTCTGCATTTGTGTTTAATATGTATAGACGCTCTACCTATCTGTGAGATGGCGAGAGAGAGAGAGAGAGATAATCTATTTGAAAGGCAGATGCAGAGGACCCTGAAAGAATCTTGATGCTTTGGCACACACACACACACATATACATACACTCTCAGGTACGCAGCGTACGTCAAGAGACTTACCTAGGTGTCAAGTGTGTGAATGCTTGCGATGCATGTGTGAGAGAGTGACAGAAAAGAAATGGAAGAGAAGGATGTGAGGGAAATAATGGAGGGACAACACAATATCCAGAGGATTTTTGCACTTTTCCTGGAAATGCAGAGATGGGCCGTATTTGCAGTAAACAGGCAAGCTGTAATCATATAAGAACACCAGGGAAAACAAGTCAAGCACGAACAAAGGAGAGCAGGAAAGAGGGATGAGAGGAGCGAAGGAATGGAAACCAGGAGAAAAATGGCTTTTGGTAACAATGACCATGTGGCAGTCTTGTATTCAATATATCCAGCTGAAGGCTTAGGCTTTGAGAAAGCAGTATTTTATGGGCTTCATATAAAACGCTGCCAAGATAACTAATCATTCTCCCTATAATGTTATGAGTTTAGCAGTTGGTGTATGTAAACCCTCTGTGCATGAATACAGATAAACACACTTAAATCTGTCTTATCCTCTAGCAGGTATATAGAGGTTTTACCTGAAGAGTTTCTATTTTGTGTTTATTATGCCATAGAAAAGGGCAAACATTGTAATATACACAGTGGGGACTAAAAGCTTGAGACTATATTGAAAAGCTCAGATTTAGTGTTTCATTTAAACTTAAAAAAAAAAAAAAACAGAGAACATTTTAGTAAAAAAACAACAACATATATATATATATATATATATATATATATATATATATATATATATATATATATATATATATATATATATATATATATATATATATATATATATATATATATATATATATATATATATATATATATATATATAATTATTAATATATTATATAATTATACAATTATTATTTAAAGTTCTGGTTTATTTTTACATCATTTATCAAATTTCTGAGATTGTGTGACTCTTTGTTAGAGCTGCGATGTCAAAACCTGCAAGACTTCTCTCAAGATGTTCCCTTGGGTTTCATTCTGGGGCTTTCCAATTCATGAGTAAAATAAGGTCTGTGCTTAAAATAACTTGACCAGCTCTCTGGGCACATACACGTTTTCCATCACAACGTTTATCTTTGAAAGAAGTCAAGAAGCAATGACATTGTCCTGTGAAATAATGTCAAGAAATTTTTGTTGTAGTTCTCCTTGCAATCATACCATTCATTAATTTATTCACTTTCTGTTTTTGGCTTAGTCCCTTTATTAATCTGGGGTAGCCACAGAGGAATGAACCGCCAACTTATAGCATATGTTTTATGCAGCAGATGCCCTTCCAACTGGGAAACATCCATACACACTCACACACATAAACTACGGCTAATTTAGCTTACCCAATTCACCTATAGCGCATATCTTTGGACTGTGGGGAAAACCGGAGCACCTGGAGAACATGCAAACTCCACACAGAATTGCCAACTGACCCAGCCGAGGCTCGAACCAGCGACCTTCTTGCTGTGAGGCGATCGTGCTACCCACTGAAACCGTGACACTGCAGTCATACCATGCACTGTAAAAATGCAGGGTTCCAAACAATTCATTCATGTTGCCCCAACACAAATCAATTGAGTTAACATAATTTTAAATGGATTGAACATGATAATAATAATAATAATAATAATAATAATAATAAAACTTAAAAAAATAAATAATATATTTTCTCTATAACGCTTTTTCTAAAACCTAAAACGCTTAAAAGAATGTAAAAACAACAAAGCACAGTAAAACAATAAAAAATATCTGCAAAAAACACAGTAAGAATAAAAGATATCACAAATTAAAAACATTCCTAAAAAGATGAGTTTTAAGTAGCATCTTAAACCATCCAAAGAACATAAAACAATTAAGTTTAACAAAACATTCATTCTTTCATTTTCTTTTTGGCTTAGTCCGTTCATTAATCAAGGGTCGCCACAGTGGAATGAACAGCCGTTTCACAAAACAAATCTCCAAAATTGAGTTATTTCAGCTCATTTTAAAATAAGTAGTTTGATAAAGCAAAGATTCAAACTACTTATTACTTCAAAACATTATTACTTTATTCATTGAATTGTAAATACATTTACAGTATTTTAACCAAAATTTTGCACTGCTTTTTTATTTAAATTATTATTATTGTTGTTATTTTAGTCTTTAATTTTCTGAATGATTTTGTTTTTACAATATTGTTAAGCTTTTTAAATATTAATAATAAAAACAATACGTTTGATGTTGGTGACAAAATGAACTTGTATGAGTGCTCTCTGGCGCCCTCGCGCAAGCGCAATTCAAACATTGGCTGTTTGTTTTTGACGTGATCACTGAGGTTGACTGGATGCAACGAACGGGGGTAAATTACCAAAACAAATACACAGAATATATAATTTGTGTGCATAAATACCTGTTTCCTACCGGTACTTATGTTTACTACCAAATGTAAAACTAGTTTTAGCCAGGCCTATTTGTTGTTGTCAGTTTCTTGTTAAATTATTACACATGCTAGTTTAAGTACGTAACGTTAGGCCTACATTGCGTTAAATTTTCCTCAGTTGTTTTTCCCAATTCATTTACACATTAATGAAGTTACCCTTAAACCTTTCTCTCCTCAGAACATTCAGTACACTACCTGTGTTTCTTGGATAATCTCACATGGTCCACTGAGCAGCACCAAAATGTAAGATTTTACTTTTCAACTTTGTTTATAAACAATTCAAATGGTGTCCATTGGGCCTTACGCACAATTATAAATGTATATAAATTTTTTATTAACACTTGACTTCTTATGTTTTTATTTTGCCAGTGTAGCATTGTGAGTAGCCTGATCATGTGTTTGACTGAAAGGATCATTAAGCTATTTAAACTGGTCAAAACTTACCATTCTAAACCAAAGCATATGAAAAATGATTAGAATTCATATGACTTTATATAACAAAATTCAAAGAAATTATTCAGAATAATTCTCAAATTGTAATGAAATACAAAGATACACAAAAATGTCAGTTTACAATTT